GAAATTGGCGGAGTGAACCAGCCGGTCGCATTTCCGGCAAAGAAAGGCGTCGTCGGCTTGGCAGTAGAGGGAGGCCGCCGATTCACACAGCTCGCAGGAAACACTTCGAACAGTCAAATAAGGCTCTGCAATCCCCCTCTCTTCTCGTGATGATCTCCCCTTGCACATATTCCTGAATACCGAGTACTTCGTATATAATAATAATTGAATTGGGAGGAATGTAAAAAGGAACCAAGGCATTTATTTATACGGACGGAGTTCATCAAATGATGAGGCTCTCTTTGAGCATGCAATACACTTCAAATTATACTTTTCTTCTCACCTACATATATACTCTGTATTTGTTAAGACATGACTCGTTATTAGTTCAAAAATAATCTTTCTATCCAATCTTATATCCACATATATACCCACCTATGTTTGTGAAGGTATTTTTTTGTCTGTGAATCCCGATTCACAGAGAATATTTTGCACAAACAAAATATTGTCTGTGAAACGGGTTCACAGACAAAAAAACCTCCACAAACATGGTGGGTATAAAAGTGGGTACATCAAGCATCGTTGTTATTAGTTAGCATTAGAATGTCCAAGTGTTTGACTCACATTGTTAAATGGTTATGTGTGATTTTGATATTTAATTATCAATTGACCTTCTAGGATTAATCGAGTGTAATTGTGATTTGTTTTGCGTACTTTATTTCAAGTGGTTTCCATAATTTCAATGGAGTCAATGATTCACTATTTTTCCGCGCAAAAAAAAAGACTCGCTATTTTTGGCTTAGATATATGCTGAAATAAAACAAAATGACTCACAAAATTATTTGTGTTTCTTTGTTATTAAGTAACATGCTGTTAATTTTTCAATGCAATTTTTATCATGGGTTATTGAGAAATGGTCTCACTATACTTTAGTACCCCCTTTGTCCCGGATAGAACTTCACGTTTTTTGGCACGGTATTTTAGGAGACCAATTAAAATGAGACCAAATCTCATTTATACCCTTTACCCCTTACCGATTCTACTTCCGCTACTAACCCCTACGCCTTTCTCGTTTCACCTTTCTGTGTTGGCCAAGACCTCCGCCATCTTCAACTCCAAGCTTCTCAAAATTAAAAAAAAAATAGGCAAGATTTCTTCTTCTAAACCATGACCTCCCCCCATTCCCCAATATGCTGAACCAAGATCTCACCACATTCTTCTGCTGAACCAAAACCTCCCCCATTTCGAATCTCTCTCTATAGTGTATATCATCTCCAAGATCTCTTCGTCCCTTGATATTGAAAAAGGAGGGGTTCCCCATGGAAATCGAGATTGATGAGTCAAGAAGAGTATCTCACAACCCTCACAATGGTTGACGCCTTTAATTTGATGGAAAAATTGGATTTAATAATCCCAACTATGCTTGGTCTGCTTTTTATAATCCCTACTGATTGTTATTATCAGGTGGTCCCAACTTTGATGGGCTTTTTCCAGAAATGGTCCGAGTGACTTGTTACTGGTTAGCAAAGTAAAAAAAGACACGCCCAAATTAAGAAACCCTCATCCCAGTCGTAAACACCCAAAACCCTCATTCCAGAAATGCTATCTTCCTTCCCAATTCATCTTTGAATGCTATCTTCCTTCCCTTACTTGGCTATCGTCAACTTTTCCCTACACGATGCCCAACAGTAGAGCAATCCCCCTTAATCGTTCAGCCAACACTGAGTTACACTGGGAAAAGTTCAAGTGCCTCACTTCAAGGGTCCTAGTGCTTGATTTCGACTTTAAAGGTAAAGATTTAAGTTTTTTTTTTTTAAAATGTGCTCACATATTGAAGATTAGGGTTAGTTCTTCCTAATTAACTTCATCAACAATCGGGAGTTCCATGCCTACAAATTCACTTATTGGGATATATCCTTAATTAGATGACTTAGATTTTGGGATATATTCACGTATTCAGTTTAATAAACCTTGATCCTTAATTAAACTTCACCCTTAGTTTAATGCATGACTAAGATTTTGCATTATAAAACTGTGAATATATCCCAATGATCTTGGCCCATTCACAATTAGATGTATACAATAACTTGCTACTTTCATAGCAAATAGATGTATATAATATCCTTCTACATTCACAAATAGCTTTGTTATGAAATTATTGTGTACTGTATATATAGGTATACCTTCATTTATAGCAAAATTTATCATATAAAATGGCATCTTAACAGTCTTTTAAGTGGAATATTAGGAATGTTTGTCAAATCATTTAATTTTAGGTTTATTTGAATTGCCTATGTTATTACAGTTTTGGTTCATAACTTCATTTAGTTTAACGTTTATTATAATGTGGTTGCCTCTAAATTTGTAGATTGTATTTCAATTAAAAGGCATGGCTAATTGTACTGGTGTAACACTTAAGATGTGGCATGGGGGTAGCTTTAAAAAGAATAGCAGGGGAGAACTACAATATGTTGGGGGACATTGTTGGTGCTTTGATGTTGATGAACTGTGCTAGTTTTGGCTTGAAGAGCTAGCTGGAAAATGTGCTAAGTATTCCAGTATAGATGACATATATTATTTGATTCCGGGTAAAACCTTTGAGAAAGGATTGAGAAGGGTAAAGTTTGACGCAGAAGTAAGGGAAATGTACAATGTAGTAATGATATCTAGAATAATTGATTGCTACATAAGGCATGGAGTAAGCACCTCTGAATTTGTGTTTCTACTGGAAGGAATTGGGGAATATGAAGAGGGTTCAGTGGGTTTAGAAGAAAGGAATTCAGCAGCAGGTTCTGTTCCAAGTGAAGGAGTTAGGACACCTCACACAAACACTTCAGAACTTCCAAGTGCCTTTTCTGAGGAAGAATCACAGCATGATGCCCCAGATGAAAATATGGATGAGGATGAATCACATGAACATATGCAAGCTGAATTCCATGATCAAGATGATGATCATAACTCTGATGTGCAAGCTGAGGATTTGGAGGTCCCACTAGTTGGATCAGATAATGATACTATTGATGAAGAGTTCATAGAGAGCAGAAGAAAGGTGTGTGGATGAAATTCCAAGATTCTAGACATAGCAAAGAAAATACAAAAAGAAGCAGTTGAGGGTCTTCTAGGTGAGAAGGCACCATTAGAAAAACAGATTGTGGAATCAAATGATCTTGAATAGAAAGAAGGTTTAAGTGATTATGAAGACTCTGAAAATGACATATACACACCTTCTGAGAGTGAAAATGATGGTACGTTTTCTTCAAAGACCAAATCCAGAGTTCCTACTGTGGATGCTTATACTGATTTCAAGACACTTAAGTGGACGGTTGGTATGAGATTTGAAAATAGAGACAAATTTAAAGATGCAATGGCTAAGTTTGCAATTGCTCAAGGTAGGAACTTGAAAATAAATGTTAGTTCTAAGAATAGGCAACAAAGGATAGGTGCAAAGTGTGTGGAAGAGTGTCCTTTTCGGTTATACGTCAGTTGGGATAGCAGGAGGGCTTCTTTTGTAGTCAAGATCGTGAAAGGGATTCATACGTGCAATAGAAACATGAAGAAAAATAGACAACATAAGGAAAAATGGGTGGCAGTGCAATTATTGGAAGTATTCAAGTCCCGACCTCACTGGACTGCACAAGAAATTGGAGAAACCATAAGAAGAGCTTAAAAGGTACTTGTTTCATGGGACTTTGCATACAAAGTAAAACATCATGCACATAGGAAGCTTCATGGCAGTATGAAGGAGCATTACAACAAGGTTGGAAGGTACTTGGAAGCTCTAATACAAGCAAATCCTCAAAGCCATTTGAGGCTTCTTACAGATCCATCAACAAAGGCATTCCCCCCCACTTTTCAGAGATTTTTTGTTTGTTTTAGTGGTCTGAAAGAAGGGTGGCTAAGGGGAGGGAGGAAGGTTTTATGTGTGGATGGATGCTTCATAAAGACCTTAGGAGGGATGTTGTTATATTATCTGCAGTAGGAAGAGACTCCAATGATCAGATGTTTCCGTTGGCATGGGCAGTTGTTGAAGCTGAAAACAACTCTAACAGGGAATGGTTTCTTTGTGAATTAAAGAAGACATTGGGTGATTCTAAAGGAGAAGACTACACTTTTATTTCTGATGAGCACCAGGTATTAATTCTGTTTTTACTTTTCGATGAATATTAATTTAGTTTGTTAATGTAGTTTGTCATTTCTTGAATGTTACAGTCCATTTTGCGTGGAGTTTATTGTGTATTTTCTCTTGCAGAGAACAGACATTGTGCTAGACATGTGTTTATTGCTAATTGGCACACAACACATAAAGGTGATGAAATGAAGATGTTATTCTAGAAAGCAGCAAAGGATTATAATGAAGCTGATTTTGTGGAAGCACATGATGAAATGAGTCAAATCAATCCAGCCGCAGTTACTGCTTTTAAAGCATATAATCCCAGGTGCTTTTGTAGAGCCTACATTAGGACAAACACAAAATGTGATGTCATAGTCAGTAACATGGCCGAGACATTTAATGAGTACATTATAAATGGTAGAGCTAAACATATAATATTTATGCTAGAAGATATTAGGGCTGCTTTGATGCAGAGAATGGTTGTTAAGAGGCAGGCCATGCAAAATAGTGGAACTTACATATGTCCAAGAATTCAAGCAAGATTAGAAAAATCTAAAGATGAGGCAGCCACTTGTACCCCTCTACCCTATAGTGAAGTGTTGTTTCGGGTTTCTCATAGCTTAGATACTTTGACAGTTAGTCTAGAGGGTAAGACTTGCACTTGTAGAAAGTGGGATCTTAGCGGAGTCCCATGTTGCCATGTTGTTGCTTGTATGTTCTTTATGAATGTAGCACATGAGGCTTTTGTTGATGAATGATATACTAAACAGTCTTACTTGAAGTTGTATTCAGGTATCATAGCCCCTCTAAGCGGTGAAAGGCACTGGCCTTCAATAAATATGCCCTTAGACCCACCACCCATAAAGATTGGTCCCGGTAGACCTAGAAGAAACAGGCTGAAGGCGCCACATGAAAATCCAAAAAAAACGGGTAAACTGACAAAACATGGAGTTGAGATGACTTGTAGTATGTGCAAGTCAAAGTCACATAATAAGAGAAAGTGTCCATACAAAAATAAGGCTACTGAACTACAATCTCAACCCAAGAAGAGTAGGGGAAGGCCAAGAACGGTCAGGCAGCCAGAAGAAGAAATTGGTCATGATGCTACAACAGCCCAACCATCTAGAATTGGGAGAGGAGGCAGAGTGATTCATGACAGAGGATTTCAAGCTGCCAGGGGAGGTCAAGAAAGTGGAAAAAGTGTAAGTAGAAGGGGAAAGGGCAAAGTTCCAGTTGGATTTGGTGTAATCATTGATGGACAAGGAAATGCTTGGACTAATGTAATTGATGCTTAGTTTCTCTTATTCATTTAAATTTATTTATTCAGTCCTAGTATCAGTTAATATCATGTACTCAAACTTTTTAATTCATACACGTGTTGATTTTACAGAGTCCCGGGCAGCAAAGAGGGCCGGTGAATATATCACACACAAGTACCTGCAATTCCGGAGCTCCAACAACTCATTCAGTGTGAATCAGAAGGCTAATATTGAAGCACAAGCAATCACTATTTTGTTAACCTATTATGTAGTTCAAGTCCAGTTGTATGAAGATTATGTTACGTTGGTGTACTCTACTTTGTGAAGTGTTGTTTATTGGTATTTGTTAGGTCCCCTAGATTTTGATATTCAATGTAATAGTTTTGATGATGTCACCCTCCTTTTTGGTTAAATCTTTATTGTTGTACTAGACTATTCTACTGCTTGTTCCGCTGTGTGAAAAAAAGTACTCATAAAAAGCAAAGAGTACTAAAAAGATAAAAAAAAGCACTGGTATCAAAGTGCCAAAATAATAATATACAATTTTTGTACCAAATAAATTTTACTGGAAATATAAAAAGCAATAAGGTAAATTTTGTTTACCTTACAAGGATATTTAAATCCAACCAGTATAAAATTTATTTGATATAGAATTTAACATGTCACTAGAGTACAACTGCCAAAATTGTGACAAAATAAAGTGTACACTTTTTGTAACAAAAATAAATTGCACTCGGAAAATAAAATGCAATAAGGTAATTTTCCTTTACCTTAAAGCGAATATTCAAATCCTACCAATACAAATTTATTTAATACTCCCTCCGTCCCGCTATTAACTTCCTGCTTTCCTTTTTGGGACGTCCCAAAATCATCTTCTCATTTACCTAAATGGAAAGTTTTTCTACATCAAAATAGTGTCAAACAGTGCAAAACAGTGCCAAACAGTGTCTAAACAGTGTTTAAACAGTAAAGTCAAATTTAATTCCTAAAAATGTGTGAGGGTCAAAGTAAGAAGTTAAAAACAGGACGGAGGGAGTACAAAAAGGCTAAAGTCACAAACTTGCTAAAATTCTAATTAGAACACTGCATACACAATACACTACACGCATACAAATGTACACTTGCGTGTATGATTACAGGCAAAGCCAAAACCTATTAATAGGTGAGTAGTGCATAAAGGCCTAAGGTATGGGTTCACATACTAGAAGATAATCTTGCAAATGGATCCTAATGCAGCACTAAGAAGATAAACTGCTCCAACACAAGAAGACGAAAGTACAATACATCCGACGTCAAAGATTAAATCATCTCAACCAACGGAAGAGATTAATCAACCGGAGATGCCTATAAATACAAGCATAAGCATGAGTTGAAAACCAAGTTTTTGAGATCCTTCTAAGCAGAGTAAATCATACCGAGCATCCAATAGATATCTAGCAAAAGAGAAAGTGCTTGATTCAAACTTTACTCTCTGCTTAGACTCATGTTTCACTAAACTTCCAAGTTAGAATTCACATTGCTACATTCTGAAAGTTTAGTTCTTAGTTGGAAGCTAGAATTTTTGTTTTATCACAAATTGTTGTAAACACTTAGAAGGACAGTGTTATCTAGTCCTAAGTGTGGATGAATAGAATAGAGTACCTTTTGATCCCCACTGGATCAATTGAGAAAATATAAGGATTGAGTAACTTGGAGTGGTGTGTACTCCTAGTGAAACACCTTTCAGTCTGAACTAGTTGTGTGATAAAGGCTAGATTGGCACTAAGTGTATTGGGCTTAATACATTAGTGGAAATCCATCTGAAAGAGGGTGAGACTGGATGTATGAGGATTACACCACCTCTGAACCAGGATATATTGCGTGTTGATTCACTATCATTCAACGAAGCACACAACAAACATTTTCTTTTGCAGTTGCCTTGAGCAGTAACCTCGGCAGCAGTCTGCTGCCCACTTTACTGCTCACCCCACCGCCAAGAAAACAGCGCTTCTAAACACTTTCTTACAGACTTTTAAATGTTTTAAAGTCTTCAAACACTCATCAGAAATAATCCAGTGCAAACAGTAGTCTTAGCAGTACTTTACACTTACCTCACCACTTAGTCCACTGCTTACCAAACTGCCAAGCCAACTGCCCTCATAAAGAAGTTCAAAACTTGAGTTCCTTTGAAATGATAAAACTTATCTGATAGTCTCTTGGACTTGTTCCTTGTCCACTTACTTTAAATAGAAAGTTGTTATATATTGTTTACATAGAGGTCAAGACTTCCGCTGTGTATCTTTAATCTCTCAAAAGGTTATTGATCATCATATCTAGTAGGGAAAACTTTTAAAAGTTATTGACGAGGGGGTTTAGGATGAGGAGTTAGAAGTAGAGGGGATTGCTCGAACAGGATATGTGCGAGGCGTCTGTCTGATTGTGTTGTTTCCATAGACAAGGGCCCACGTGAGCGAAAATCCAAGTTCTTTGCTTAGTTTGTTTGTATCCAGTGTTGCAACGATACTTCACCCCGATGCCGTATCAGTGAATCCGATACCGATACCCTGATGCGTATCCTTTGTAAATTGCCATATCGCCGTACCCGTATTCACGTATCGGCGTATCCGTGTCCGTGCAACATAGTTTGTATCTATGAGTATATATGTTGTGGGCTCTCACCCATATACTCTATTAGTGATCATTTGATTATTACCTCATAAATACTACCTTCGTCCCACTAAGATTGAGAGAAAGGAGAGTGGTGAAGTTTTTTAGAAAAGTAGAACTGTGTGGTTAAGGAATTGATAAATTAAAGTGAGAATAAGGTAAGAATGAATTTGAGCGAAAGAAATATTACCAAATATGATATGAGATAAATTTAGTGGGACAAACGAAAATGGAAAATGAGACAATTATAGCAGGACAGAGGGAATATTTTCCTGTGAGAAACAACAGTTACTCTTCCGCTATTGGTTGGTTCAAAAGTACTCTGTATGTGTTTGCCAAAGAAAGGTTGTCTTGTCACGGGGGGGGGGGGGGGGGGGGCTGGTGGGGCCCTAGCCCAGCGCAATTTTGTTGTTGTATTATATACTCCCTCCATCCCGTTGGGATGTTACCAGTTTGACCTACACATATATTGAGGAAATAAACTTACCAGGGGGTAAATTTTACTGTTTTGACACTGTTTGGCACTGTTTTGCACTGTTTGCCAATGTTTTGATGTAGGATAACTTTCCATTTAGGGAAAGGATAACTTCTTTTTGGGACATCCAGAAAAGGAAAGCGGGAACATCCCAACGAGACGGAGGGAGTATATCGTTTTAATAAATAAATTAGAATTGGCCCAGTGCAAAAGAAAGTCTGGCCTAGTGTAGAATCATTCTGGACCAGTGCGAAAATACATCCTCCTGCCAATCTAAAGAAAAGTAGCGCAGCAGCCACTCACATTCCATTCGCCGGACGCGCCTCTCCGCCGCTCGACCTCTCGACACAACCTAAGGCCCTAAGGTAATAGTTTTTTTTTGTTTTTTGTTTTTGTTTTTACATTTTACGTAGTATATTTTAATTTAAGTATTTTAAATGTTATTTTAGTTTGTGTTAGTGACTTAGTGTGTACAATTGATTTTGTGTGCTTTGAATTGTGAAATGGAAAATTAGGAATAGCAAATGTAATATGTGAATTTCCTAAAATATTAATATGAATTGTATGAATTAAAATAAAGTATTGATTAGTTTTTATGTTTTTTGCTAGTTTTAGTAGGTATGACTACTCAATCTGCTTCCAAAAAGGCAAAAGTCACAGTGTGTTCATTTATAAGCCTAGTACAAGCACACAATGTAGGCAAAAGTTAAATGTCTCAATTGAAATTCCGAATATTTCATCCGCTCAAGAGGAAGTAATTTTTTATTCACTTGTAATTGAACGGGATCCGGGAAAATGATAAGTAATTGACCGTTGATGCTTGGACCTTATCAACTGAATTTTTTAATGGATTTTAATCATTATGTTCCCACTATTTATACTTTTAAAATTTTTGTATAATGTTTTTAGTGTATAGTTGGTCCAGGGTGTATATTCGTCCTGCCTACGCCCTTGTGTCTTGAACAAGCTTAGTGGCAGTTTATCGATTGTGTACCGGGAATGGTCATACTACCTCCGTCCCAAAAAAATTTGTCACTTCAAGAAATTTGAACTTTGATTTTGATTAGTATATTATTATGAAAGTTATAAATTTTATACTTTTATAGAAGTACTATTAACAAAGAACATTTTCATATAATTTTTATATTATGAATAATTTCCAATAAAAAGATATAGGTGGTCAAAGTTGTGAAAATGACAAAGTTTTTTGGAATCAATGTAGTATTATTGGGTAAGTGGTTGTGCTCCTCCGTCACTTGGACAGTTGGACTCCCTTGGGCTTGGAACAGCCTTCCGTGCATTGAAGTCAAACATAATAGATTTATCAGGACTATTGGACAAAAATGAGGTTTAAGGTATTTGGCGGAGAGAAAAAGAACACTCCGTAAAAAGTAAAGAAAAACAACACAATTAAGACCAGACCAGACCAGACCAGACTTAAACAGATCAGACCAGACCAGACCAGACTTAAACAGACCAGACCAGACCAGACCAGACTTCCGTAGTTATAAAATACACAGAGACCAGACGTTTACCAGACCAGACCAGACCAGTTCAGACCAGACCAGACCAGACCAGACTTAAACAGACCAGACCAGACCAGACCAGACTTAAACAGACCAGATCAGACCAGACCAGCAAATTTCAGTCCAAAAGAAAACATCCTAAGATGCAAATTGAAAGTCAACGTGAGTTCAACAAACACCTAAACCGTGAAATCATTAAATAATCGATTAATACGATGGCTCAATTAACGTTTTTATATTAATATGATGCCTATTTTTCAGATTTTCTAATTAATTATACGAAGTATTAGTTTCTTACCTCGATCAATATGTAAAACATAAACTTCAGCCCCAAAGTTTCTGTGATCTTATTATGCCACTCCAAATCAAGTTTACTTTAATAAAGTTTTATTGAACAATGGGAGGAAATAAGTACTAATTAATCAAGGCCCAATGTATGATTGAACTGGATTTGAGTCTCATTTGGGCCTACAACCATAATCCATACCATAGGGTAAAGTTCGATTCTCGGAACACGTTTAATTCGCTGCAAAAAACACAGTTAGGTTAGTAACACGAATTACACGGGTGAAGTAAAAACGCAAGCTGCTTAAAAAGCTGCTTACTAACCGAAAGTGGTGCTTAAAGTACGCGTCGCTTACTAAGCATACCTCCCCCATGTATTAATTAAGCGGCACTTTAAGCTTTTTCAGTTTCCGAATTTAGCACTCTTACCCCTTGCCCTTGCCCTATTGTTACCCTCTACCCCTACCCCTACCTCCTACCATGGCCCCTATACACTACCCCTACCCAGTGGCGTATCCAGAAACTTTGGCGAGTGGGGGCAAACTTGACTACAATTTAGTCTCATATTTCACAAATAACAAATCACATTATTAATATTGTTTGATTAAATTTAGTTTATAATATCTATGTACAAGTATGAAAAAGAAGAAGATTAATTTACATTACGGGTGTGTAAAGATGTAATTGCAAATAAAATGTAATAAATTTACCTAAATATAAGTTAAACAGTCTGAAACATAACAAGGTTTAGTGAATTTTTTAGCCTTTCATTCTTTTAATATTAAATAAAACACTTCTAATCCTATTTTAGAATTTTTTTCAACATTTAACTCTTAATTTGAGCAACTTCTTGTAAAAATTTGGACATATATAGGGGTTGGGTTGGGGTTGAGTGGAGGCAGCTGCCCCCGTTGCCCCATAGTGGATACGCCACTGCCCCTACCCCTCAGTAGGGATAGAAGGTAAGGTCGTGGTAGGGGGTAGGGGTCAAGTGTAGGGTAAGGGTAGGGGTAGGGGCGGGTAGGGGTTAGGGTTATGGGTACATGTACGAGGTGACCACCACATATTATATTATATAATTGTATTCAGGAATGTTTATGAGTCTATATATGTATAACTGTATAGAGTTATTTTAGACATTTTAATGTTAAACGATATTTTAAATCCTTTGAAGTAAATATGAGCTTAAAATACTGCTTATTTTATGCGGCGCTTATTAACGTGAGTCTTATTAAGCACCGTTTAGTAACTCGTGAAGTAAAGATGTCCTCGGTATTTTATTAGTTATCGTTATACAATGTAGTTCTCAAGGAGACTAAAAATAAAATAACTACATGTCTTTATTGAACATTGTGGAAGTTAAATATAAAGAAAATAAAAAGAAGTGGAAAATATGAACCAAAAGATGGAAAAGTAGCGAAAATAATTAGCGTCCAGTAATAAATACTCCGTACATTTTTCGTAAATTGCGTCAAATCACATGTTAGAAACTCAAAACTATCATTAACAAAAATACCTAGTTTAATTTAGCTTAATTTGCAATCTTGAAAGTTAAAAAGGCCTCATCGGCTCATCCCCATACCTCCTCGTATTGGATATGGCAATAACAAGTAAGCAACATGGCCTCCTCTTCATCATCATCCTTATTATACTAGCCAAAAATAAGGTTGTGTCGTCGGAAAAGGCAGTACAAGACTCGATTTTCTTGAACGTCGCTGGCTCGTTTGCCGGTGCAGAGAGCGGCGGATCGATAGACATAGAGGACGCGGCGGAGGAATTGATGATGGAATCGGAAGTGTCAAGGAGATTTTTGTCCCAGAGCAGATACATAAGCTACGCCGCCATGCAAAAGGACAGCATCCCCTGCAATCGTCGTGGGGCTTCTTATTATAATTGCCGATCACACGCCGCCGTCCGCCCCTACAACCGCGGCTGCAGCAAGTTCACCAGATGCGGCGGAAGATACAATTAATTAATTATCCTACATGAGAAAAATATTGCATGGATGCATTATTTATAGGGAGAATTTAACTTTACACATAATGTTTAGGGTGATATTGAACTTTGTATCTAATTTTCAAAATTATCAATGGGTGCACCCCATCAATTCGATCAAAATATTTTGAGGTGCAAAGTGGAATTCTCCGATTGTAACTCTCCCTACATTGTTTGAATGTATCTTTAGTTAAAAAAAGTACTACCTCCGTTCTTAAATAAATGCAACATATGGAATTTTACACTATTCACGTGTTCTAATTTGACTACGTTTTATTTATTAATGTAAGAATATTTTTTTATGAAAAACATATTGTTAAATTAGTCTCAATGTAAATTTTCAATATCTAATTTTTTTAATTTTTTTACTAATATAAATTTACATATATTAATGGTCAAAATTGTGTCTCGACAAGTGTGAAATGTAGACCGTTGCATTTATTTAAGAACGGAGGAAGTATTTAATATGATTTGTATTATTAACATATTCCACTTCATATGCATGTATTTCAGTCTTTGTGTGTTTTATTACAAACTTAGGTATTCTTTTTTAGCTGTACAATATTCTATTCTTTTTTAGTAATAGACGCTATTCTCATCTTAAGAATCTCGCTAAATAGCTAGAAATAATAGGAGGGTCACTCCACATCTTCAAAAGAGAATTTCTTTAATTCGGACGTCAGACCGTATGCTTCGATCTAGCCAACGGACAACCTCAACAAACTCTTTTTCCATAGGAGGAACAATCAAACAATTTACGAGTACAATGTCTTGATACACATTGAATTGAACATGCCTACCTTATAGAAACGTCAAAACCCAAATATGATAAGGTTAATTAAAAGGGGAAATGTGGATTTTCTTTTCATTTAAACATGACAAAAAATACCTTAACTTATGGAGGAGGACATGAGAAGAGAAAGACATACCTTTCATATTCGATACAATCGGCTCTTTAAGCTAGATGTATACAATTTTTTTTATACTACGTATTTAGAGGATCTAACAAGCAAGTATTAGCAAGGAAAGACACATCCTATAAGATGAAACAAAACTTGTTTAGTAAAAATGATCTTAATGTATAGTAGTATCTGTTTTCATTAATTGGAATATAATGTTGATGGATAGTTTACCCGGGGGTATCTTATCCGATGGGTTATTGCGGGGATAACTAGAGAGAAGTCAGAGCAAATAGGAGGAGAGAGAGTCGATTGTATTAAATGAACTCAGCGTGTGTAATCGAGATGTCGATTATGATTTACAAGGAGAAATGGGCTGCTATTTATAGCAGCAATAAATGCGATGAGAGTACACGTGTCAGTAATCCAATGGCCGAAGGGTCACATCAACCGGTTGGCACCGGCAGTGGTACGTTCACCGCATTGAATGCGGTTGGCGGATGTGACGTGGCTTTAAATGCGGTGGTTGGCTGTCTCCAAAAGGAATCTTCGATGATTGAGCGTGTTTTTCCGAAGGCTCCTCGTGTAGCCGAGGGCTCCATGTGACCAAGGACCCCTGTGTAGCCGAAGGCCTTGTGTGACCGAAGGCTTTGTTCAGCCGAAGGCTTCTCTGATGCCGAGGGCTCGATAATGCCGAAGGCTCATGTTTTTCGCCGTTTTTCTCCCAGTAGCTTCTTATGCTAGAGAGGGCTATCCTGTGAGTTTTGGAGCCTTCGGCCAAGGAGGCCGAAGGCACCCCAGTGTGTGTTCTGGGCTTCTTTGAGGCCCGGGCCGTTGCATTTGGGCCTGAGTTGTTCTCTGGGCTCAATGGACTTGTGTCGGAGAAGTAGGAGTCTATGGGCCGGGGGTTCCCGGGCCATATACTCCATCAAATGTATTTAATAACGATTCCTTAACAATTTCGTGAACATGTCTTAGCTTTTTTATAGGAATCGTGAACCGAACCATTAACAATAACTAGGAACCGAACCAAACAGGATTATAAGGGTTCGGTTCCAACCGGTTATACAATTTACGGTTCCAAACTCCCACCCCTAGGACAAAGCTAAACCACACTGCTTTTATTTTATTATTCTCCGGGTTAGTTGAACTTGGCAAAGTTTTGTGTGTCAGATGAAGTATTTCTTTTGATTCATTTAAGTTTGCCTTAATAAGCATAAACACGTAGTATATTGTAACATATCTAAAAGGATTATTAACGTAATGCATCTCCACTAGCTTCAATTTCACAAATCTTTTTTTTCTTCATTAACTTTTAAAAAAAGAGTTCTTTTTTTCTTCAAAAATAGCACTGAAATAAAAGTTATTCACAAAAATATGATTAAAAATTACTATGTGTTATATAGTATAATTACATGGTCATCTAAATAAAAGTTATTCACAAAAATAAATTACTCAGACTAAAGTTACTGCTATAATCACTGCACTTAAAATGTCACTATTTGGTAAACAAATTTTAATTTGGTCATAAATATGAAATTATTTCTTATATAAAAATACACCAACATTATGTTTTTATATTATCATAAATGGTGAAGATTTTATCACAAGCAATAAACAAAAATATTAATTAAACCTCGATTTCTAAATATTATTTTAATAATTATGTTTTTTATAAAAAAATATTATATTTTGCTAATAGTAGTCAAATTACTATTTAAAGTATAGCTAAAAAAGAATCTTATTTCAATGCCCACATTTCGTCTAAATGTTCAATAATTTTTTAGGAAAAATCCCATATCTGAAGCCCGAAAATATAACAAGAAAACTATATGTGTAAACTACATCAAGTACAAATCTAAATAAAAGTACGAAGTATTTAAATAGCTATATAAAAGACGTACACATTTACTTTATAATGTGAGTTCTACAAAAAAACCATTAGGCCTCAAAAGAAAAAACAAACTACACTCAATATAGCAATACAGAAAGAGATAAAATCCTGTAACTGTTTTGTTTTTGTTTTTTGTTTTCATTTTTTAGGCCTAGGCAGTGGCGGAGCCAGGAGTTCGTGTCAGTGGTGTCAATTTAGCACAACTGTCTCGACGCATTTTCATATTTTGAAAACGTTGTACAATTTTTTCTTTGTCAACACTTTTGAATATATCTTTTTCAATAAAAGTAACTAAGGCATCATTCATCATAGCATCCCCCATTCCCCCATTCGATCGCGCAACCTGTTCTTCACGAACTTCATGGCTGAGAAGACTCTTTCCACTGTTGCGGTGGCCACCGGTAGAACCAAACCAGCCTGGAATGCATCACGGACGTAGTGACAACAGGGCCGGTCCTGACCATTTCTGGGCCTATGGGCGGTACACTATTCTGGGCTTATGACCGTATACTTATTTGAAATAAGAATTATAATAAAATTATCCAATGAAGTTCATAAAATAAAGTCAAAAATCATTTTATTATTATTATTATTTAAGTTACATATTTGGACAAAAGTAACAACACAAGTATCGGATAAAAAGAAAAAACATCAGTAAAAAACATTTCTCGTAGAACAATATGAAGCAAATAATCAATAATCGCTTCATAGGCGACCTTCTTTCTATTAATGCATGACAAACAATAAAATTGCCACATATAACAACACTAAACTTTTTTTTGAAAGGAAATATAAAAAAATATCACTACATATTGAATTCATAAGTTGAGAATGATTTATTGACCGTTGATGGGAGTCTAAAGTTTGAAGTCTCAAAAGAATGAATGTTTTAAAGACACAAAATGTATGGCCGCCAAGAACACTCGCACAAGAAGACTGCCAATTTAACGTCTTCTAAACTACTATTAGGAACTCAGATATAGTTTATTGAAATTTGTAAACAAATAAATAATTGGGATGAGATTTGAGAGAGATGGGCTCTAAAATAATTATATAAATTTGTTATGTTATAATTAAATGAATAAAAAGCCTTAAAGGCTAAAGAGATGTAAAGACTACAACAGATCCTACTTAAAATTAATGTATATTTTTTTTTTGATGGAGCAACAATTGTATTGCTTTTAAAACTACAATTGATCATACTTAATATTAATGTATATATTCTTTTTTTAAACATGGCTCTGTTTAAACTTTTTATTTACATTTTAAATTTTCAAATTGTCAACAAAATTAAACATTAGGCCTAATTAACTGACCTTAAGAATTAAAAAAAGAAGCCTACTAACACTATATATAACGAAAAAAAATTGGGCCCATTTTTTTCGTCTATTTTTTTCCGGGCCTAGGGCGGTCGCCCCTCTTGCCCTCCCCCCAGAACCGGCCCTGAGTGACAATCAACTTCAATGTGTTTAGTGCGTTCATGAAAGACCGGATTATGTGCAATGTGAAGAGCAGAACGACTATCACAAAATAGAGACATAGGCCGAGAGTGAGTAACACCAAGTGCATGAAGAAGACCTTTTAGCTATTTTAATTCAGCGGTAATTGCTGCCATGGACCGATACTCGGCTTCAGTAGAGGAGCGAGAGACGGTGTGTTGCTTCTTAGTCTTCCAAGAGATAGGAGATCCTCCAAAGAAAACTATCCAGCCAGTAATAGATCGCCGAGTGAGAGGGCAACTAGCCCAGTCCGAATCACACCAACCAGTGAGACAACTATCTGAGGAAGCGTGGAGAAGAATGCATGCCCTGACCAGGCGATCCTTTTAGGTAACGAACAACGCAAAGAGCCGTGTGCCAATGCTCCTGTCGTGGTGTCTGCATAAACTGAGAGAGAATATGAACAGCATATGCCAAGTCGGGGCGTGTAAAAGATAAATAGATGAGACGCCCAACTAGCCGGCGATAGGAATCCGGACGAGTCAATAAATCGCCCTTGGCCGGAGCTCAAGAGTGATGTTGCTCCATAGGAAAAGAGGAGGGTTTCGCTCCAAGAAGTCCTACCTCAGAAATTATATATAGAGTATACTTGCGCTGGCAAAGAAAAATACCATCAGCACTACGGGCCACTTCAATGCCCAGAAAATATTTAAGAACGCCCAGATCCTTCATGTGGAAACACGTGTGCAAATAATGTTTAAACTGAGATAAAGCAGAAGAATTATTCCCAGCAATAATTAAATTATCAACATAAATTAGAACATGCAATCGAACGGTCCCGCGATGATAAGTAAACAGAGAATAATCAGAATAAGACTGAAGAAAGCCATAATTCTTCAAGGAGGTAGATAATTTTGCAAACCAACAACGAGGAGCTTGACGTAAATTAAACCATACAAGGACTTTTTGAGGCGGCAAATAAGTTTGGGACGAGAGGTAGAAAAACCAGGCGGAGGTTTCATATAAACCTCCTCAGCTAAGTGATAACCGCTTTCGCGGCGTTGTAGTAAAACGGAGTCTAACCTTTCAGTTTTTCCCCGAGTATCGTGTCTCTCGAGGAATGGCGGAGGAGCTTCTTGATTTCAAGTCCAGTCACAGGTTATCGCAAATTATTGGAAGCTTTCCAAATTAAAATTTTTGATTGATTTTCTAAACTACTTTTTGGAAAAGAAAGTAAATTAAATTGTGCAAATACTAATGATGGCTCAAAAATAGAC